CCCCACGTCTAACGATTAAAATAACGTTTTTAAAATCTAGAGTTAGGTGTGTAGAACTGAACATACACGCTGTGACTTGGACACGACAGTGCATTATTGTGTGTATTCATCACTGACATCAACCCCATCCAAGATCTCGTTATTAGCACAGATATAACGAGGAGGAAGCCATGTCATCTTGGCAGACTCCCAGACTTGGTATCCCCTCCACAGTCGTGGCACAGTGGAAGGAATCAATCATTCTGATCAGCATGTATGAGATTAGAACCTTTATAGCTTGCATTCCCTAGGTAATTTCAGTCTTCCGACCATTACCAGGGGTTCCAGGTGGAGGCAATTCAGTATAACAGACCTCCAAGGCAAACGTGATCATGGTTGATCATCAACTGCCATTTACTTATTAATGCGACTTGGCCATGGTCCAGTACTATTATAGTTGATAGTCAGTTACCTGTCAAATTAATCTCATGCTTAGCACACCCTTTGACCCAAGTGTTAAGTGGTTTACCACACACTTGATCAGAACATGTGTCAATTAACAACTACATGATGGCTCTTGGTGTCAGGGATGCATACCTACACAAACCTAGGCACTCACACAGCCAACCTATGTTGGGGTAAGTCGAAGGAATAGCATACAAACTTCAAGGACTTCCTTGCACGGTACCTCTGGTGTTCACAGGTTTGACAGGAGATAGTCCAACTCAATGCCGCTATTTCATCAACAAGGGAACGTATCAAATAGAGCTAACCTAGCATCTGAAGTACTATGGGATTGCAATATACACAAGATCAGCATTCTTTTTATCAGTGATTTTATGCAATGACATGTCATGACTTTCTAGAATAGAATAGAATAGGAAAGAATCCCACGATAGGGAAAATAAAATCTGGGATAAATGATGTGGTTCAGAACCACTGAACACATTCATCTAATATACGTATAATAACTCGGGTCATTCACATTACAGGCTTCTATTTTTTTTTAAAATTACAAAATGTTTGAGCATTTGTTTTTCATGATAGATTCAAACATCGGCGTGATGTTTTGTATATAACATGTATTAACAAGGTTTTGCATAAAAAATAAGATTATTTTGATTAGTCACACATTTTGGCCACCATCTTGTATTTGTGGAAAATTTACCGTGAATTGGAGCATGTGTCTCTTACCATTGCTTTAGCTGATCAAATTGAGAAAACAAACACAATTTCAATCAGTCATCAGTTTTGAACATCATTGATTTCTAACAAAATGTGTTTCTCAATCGATAACCATGATAATTTGTATATACAATCACCAAAGATTCAGTCACATGATTTTGTCTTCGTCTTGGATTTTCTGAAGATTAAATATTTGTTTTCTCATAAAAATCATTCAACCTGATATAATTTTTGTAGAATGTATGAAAAAACAAACAAATTATTGTGGTTCATTAACGTCACCTTGTATTTACAGCAACAATTATGAAACTTGTGAGCATTTGATTCTTATGAGTGCTTCATTTAATTAGTAATCTTATCAACGCAATAAATTAAAATAGTTCTATGATTTTGCTGTCAATTTGTATTTTTAAAATAAATGTACAATAATTGTATTGTGTTTGCCCAAATGTAACACATTCACGATGATTGAATGCAGCAATAATTTATAGATGCACAACAGAAAACAATCTGTTACCTTGACTACATACTATCCATACTATCATACTATACTGAATAGTACATACACATTTTTGCTTCAATCTCACTTGATGTTACTTTGTGTTGATATTGGTGTCAGGCAAGTGTTTTGAAGCTATATCCGTTTATTAGCTCCATTGTCATCACAGATAACAGAGCAAAGCTATTCATATAGGTGATTGTCCATTGTTCTTCTAATGCCTCTTTATTACTTTTTCGATTTCTTTTATATGTTCCATGTTTAGTTTGTAACAATTAATATCTAAGAATTTTCAGCAAATATTGTTATTTTTAGTTAAAAAATAAATTTATTTGTCTTCTCCTTGAAGCGTACCAGCTCAATTGTGTTGATAATTAGTTTGTAGGTAAAAGTTGTGACATTTTTCCAATTTGTAGCTAATATTTGTGTCATGTTAGTGAAAAAATGTATTTTTCACTTCTTAAAAAAAAACCACCAGCTCAACTGCTTATTTAGTTGGTGTGTAAGGAATATAGTTAAACATCCATAAGATTTGTAACAAGATGATAACAATTGTAATTGCTATGGAAATAACCAAATGAACTACCATGGTTGTGATACGGCAGAAAAAATGACTAATAGTTAATATCCATTGTACAGAACATTATCATACCTTCAAGTCATACCATTTTTGTGACACACATTGGATTAATTTTTAATGTTGTTTAATTAACTTTTAATATAGTTACGATACGAATTTGATTAAAGCGCGTTCCTATACAAGCTTGCATTTTAATTCAAGTTTAATTAAACTCAATTTCGTTTTCATGCACCACATACCATTCGGTTTCTATGTATAGGGAGTTTCCATTGGCAATGTACATGGCTTACCTAATAAATTTTCGCCATTAAATGACGTGTATTATTCAGAAAATCATATTATTTATTTTCTAACTACAACACACATTTTGACAGAAAAGATATTTTTTATTGAAACATAAAAACCACATACATGGCTGTTTGTGATTTCATTTTGGTGACAGTTTGTTGGTGTGTGTGTGTCCTTACAGCCTATTGGCTGCAAACCAATCAGTGCAGCTTGCAGCTGTATTTACCACTTGTTGTGACCTTGCTGAATGTGGGTGGATGAATAATATGACACCTAGACATTTGTGTTGACTTGTAAATGAAATATTACGGTTTATACAAATATATATATTTCTAATTTTATTGGTTGCCTTCATATTTTTGTCTCGCTGATCTGACCTCATATTGAAGTGCCTTGTAATACGCTTTTCAGTCTTCAGTCAGTCGTTTAATGTTTGTGGGCGCTGTTTTGATTAATTTCAGAAAAGATAACTGTTTATTGAAACATGAAAACTACATACATGGCTGTGTGTTTTTATGACAGTTTGTTCGTGTGTGTGTGCCCATACAGCCTATTGGCTGCAAACCAATCAGTGCAGCTTGCAGCTATATTTACCACTTATAGTTCCCCAGCTGAATGTGGGCGGATGGGGAATATGCCAACTCATTTTTTATGTTGTCACTTGTTTGCACATATAAATTGTATTTTCGACATTCTATTTGACTTGTGAATGAAATATTACACTTTAATTAAATATTGTTATTTCAATCTTCAGTCAGTCGTTTAAGTTTGTGGTCACTGTTTTGTCTAATTTGCTTATAATTAGTCTGCATAGATTTTCAGATTAGGCATAATAGACACACTTTTCATTGGTGCAAATATGTTGACTATTCAAATTAATGCCTTATTTAAATACCGTTGTTACATACAAGAGCCAAACAGTTTCAGACGACTCGTAAATAGGGCGGATTTGTTGTCGGAATAACCCTATCGTCCTCGGAGCTGTTTAAAAAAATCCCAGAGTAAGTAAAATCGAGCATATTCATATTTGATCAACTTATATTAAATGTTAGTATATTTGAAATTGATAACAAAGTGTGGTAATATTCGATCTGGGTTGATGATACCTGACTATTTAGCTAGCATTAATATATTTAGTATATATCCATTCTATATTTGATGTCTTTGCTCCCATTATTTCAAAAATTGCTAGTAAACTTCCAGCAGTATT